TGCATGCTGAAGCAAAAGAATTTGCCAAAATCATTATAGGGTGAAGCTGTTTCGACTACAGTTTATATTTTGAACAAGTGCCCTACCAAGATATTGAAGAACAAGGTTCCTGAAGAAGTATGGAGTGACAAACGACCATCAATGAGTGATTTGAAGGTTTTTGGCTCTATGTGTTACAAGCATGTTCCTGATACAAGAAGAAGGAAGCTTGATACCAAGAGTGAACCTATGATTTTGGTATGATATCATAAAACTGGTGCATACAGGCTATTTAATCCAGTTAATGATAAGATTGTGTTGATTCTATACATTGTGATTGATGAGAAAATTCTGCATGGGATTGGAATTCTAATGATGTAATTAACAAGCCATTGATGAGCTATGGTTTCGAAGAAGAAACCGATGAAGTCAAAGTCGAAGAAATTGCTAATATTCCAATCAAAGTCGAAGTAGTTGCTGACATTCCAGAAACAGTTGAAGTCGAAGAGGTTGTGGCTGAAACAAGCCAAAGACCTCAAAGAAATAAAGTTCTTCTAACAAGACTTAATGATTATGAAGTGGTGGGTGATGATGGAGTCACACCAGATGGACTCGACTACTCTGAAGTATTTGCTCCAGTAGTAAGATTTGAGACTGTTTGACTAGTGGTAGCATTGACATGCAACGAAGGCTGGTCGACATTTCATTTAGACGTGAAATCAGAATTTCTGAATAGTCCTTTAGACGAAGAGGTCTATGTCATACAACTGCCAGGGTTTGTGATTTAGAAGTAAGAGAGTAAAGTATATAAGTTTCACAAAACACTCCATGACCTCAAGCAGGCACCTAGGGCATGGAACAAGAATATCGACTCGTACTTAGTCGAATTAGGATTTATCAAATGCAAATCAAAGTATGGTGTTTATGTTTAGGTTGTAGCACAAGATATAACAATTATCTTCTTGTATGTTGATGACTTACTGGTAGCTGGAAATAGCTTGGAGAACTTGTCGAAGTTTAAAGAGTTGGTGATGAGAGAATTTGAAATATCAGATCTAGGAAAATTGTCTTATTTCCAAGGCATGGAATTTCAAATGTCGAAGCAAGGTATGATGCTACACCAAAGTAAGTATGTCAAAGAGATACTCAAGATATTAAGAATGGATGATTCGAATCCTGCATCATCACCTGTCGAACCAAATGTGAAGTTGGGGAAGAATGGAGAGAAAAACAAAATCGACGTAACTCTGTTCAAGCAAATCGTGGGATTTCTGAGGTATGTGTGCAACAATCAACCTGATATAGGTTTCGTAGTCGGATTAGTGAGCAGATTCATGGGTGAACCAAGAGTGTCGCACATGAAGGCTGCAAAAAGAATTCTAAGATACTTAAAAGGATCAATAGACTATAAAATTCTATTTCGACGAGATTCTGAAAGAAAAGAAGCAACAATTACTTGTTTTTCATATGCTGATTGGTGTGGAGATAAGGAAGATCGAAGAAGCATAATTAGATATTTCTTTCAAGTATTTGGTGCCCTAATCTCATGGTGTTCGAAGAAGCAACCGATGATGGCATTGTCATCGTGTGAAGCTGAATATATAGCAGAATCCTATGTTGTATGTCAAGTAATTTGGATCATATTTGTACTTGAAGAAATGGAGGTCGAAGTGAAGAAACCTCTAGTGTTGCAAATCGACAACAAGTCAACCATAAATCTGGCGAAAAATCTAACTCTACATGGAAGAAGTAATCATATCGAAGCTAGGTTTCACTTCTTGAGGAAAAAGGTAAATCAAGGTGAACTTGAAGTTAGGCATTGCTCAAGTGAAGCACAGTTGGCCGATATTTTCACCAAAGGATTGAAGATCAACTGACTCATGAATTTGAGAAAGAAATCATGAATAGTTCATATCGACTATGATTAGCGTAGGTCCGACAACTTGGATTATAGGGGTATGTTGAAATATTAGATTAGATTAGATTTAATATTTAAATATAATCCAAGTTGTGTAAGCCCAAACTCAATTAGAATTGTATATAAATAGTCATAATGTGTATCTTTATTATTCTCTCTTTCTCTCCTCACTAAAAGTGCCTCACGCACTAACAATTACTACAATACATGACAAAAAACATCATTAACTTAAAATTTTCAAATCTATCATTAGTTTTATATTAATTTTAAAAATATTTTTTATTTATTTTATCTTTATATTTACTTCCCTCTTAAAACAATTCTCCACACTACTTAAAAAAACTAAATAAAAGAAAATACTATAAAATTCAGCAAGAAATCAAGCACACGACATGTTAGGAAGAAAGTCAAACAGGTATAACAAAGTTGATCTTCCAATGATTCTATTTAGAGGTGTATTTTCATTCTGTTTGAGCCAGCCCCACAAAACCTGAAAAAAATAAGGCAAAATGAAACAAACATAGTTGAGAGTGCGAGTCTAAAATCTTGGTCTGTCTTGTAAAAAAATGAAAGTGGGACGAGACAGACCCGTGGGCATTACATCTTCTAAATTCAACAAAGTAAAAATAATTGATTAGAGGATTAGAGCTAATATATTATCCCATTGTAAAAATTCCCCTAATTGATCAAACAATCCCCTAATCAGCTAGATCAACCTAAAAATATTTTAGATGGTTTTAAAAAAATAAAAGAGGCTTCTCAAAGAATTTTAGTGTGCATGTGGTTTTATCATAGTATTTCTGGAAGTCCCCTTGCGCCTTTACAAGACATTGGTCACTTAGACAGACACAATTAGACGAGATTTCACACTTCCTCTTTTAAATAACTCGAAAGTTTCAAGTCTTGACATTATTATATTTGACTTTAGCATTACACAAGAGCTTTTAATCTTCTTTATTGATGGGGTTTAAGATATTTTCAAATTGATTACCATTATTAAAGAGTTGAGAGAGAATATAATACCGGTAAACCTTGTGACTGAAGTCTTCACTTGAGTGTTGTTTGACCATATTATTAACTTCAAAGAGATGACTAGATGTTTAAGTGCATCTTCCAAAGGATAACTTGATAGCACATCTTGAGCATCTTTGGCCTCTTAACTTATTTACGATAGATAAGGATTTCACTAGATACCGTTTGATATCATGTGTTGTCATCATCAAAACTAAATAATCAATCATTTGATTGCTACCTTGCTATCAATAAACTCCACCACCTTAGATCACTTTGACAATACCTACAAACACATATATCCATAAGTTCAATGGTGTGTCCGTGCCTATTATAATGAGCACAATATATAGAGTTGACCTTACCATTACCTTTATAATTTGATCCTCTACCTCAATCATAAGACCTTTTTGCATTATAAGCATTACTAATGAATTGGACTCATTAGATGTAGTAGTAGGAACAATAATGTTTTCCTCCTGAGAAACTAAGGAATATACCTTGTTAATGGATGGTAAAGACTCCATTAATAGAGAACTTGTGTCTTAATCACTAGAAATTGACCATTCAACCAAATAAAAATTGGATAATATGGTTCTCAAGAATGAAATTTTTTATTGATCACACGACCTCACATTTGCATGAATGATGATAGATACATGAAAGGATATGTCTACTTGAAGTCAATTTATCCCTAAGAATTTTCGTCTCTATGTAATACTACAAAAATGATTTTGATCCTTGTTTGAGAGAATTAGGTTGAGATCTAAGAGTTGACACACAAACTTTATTAATTTTGGAGAATTTATCTTTTAAATCTTTCTAAACTTCGATAAAATTTTCATAAAATAATATAGTTTGAGCTATAGAATTGAAAATTGAACTAATAAGCCACGAGGATACTGTAAATGATTGTAGATTCACTTTTAAGGGTGCATATTCACTTTTAAGGAATGAAATTCTGGTCACTAAATTACATGACAAAAACATCATTAACTTAACTTTTTAAAATCTATCATTAATTTTATATTAATTTTAAAAATATTTTTTATTTATTTTATTTCCCTCTTAAAATAATTCTCCACACTATTTAAAAAACTAAATAAAAGAAAATATTATAAAATTCAGCAAGAAATCAAGCACATGATATGTTAGGAAGAAAGTCAAATAGGTATAACAAAGTGGCTATTTCAATGATTCTATTTAGAGGTGGTAAATGAGCATATGTTCATTTTGTTTGAGAAAAATTTATAAAAAATAGAATAAAACGAAATAAACATAGTTGAATGTATGAATCTAAAATTTTGATTTGTCTTGTAAAAAAATGAAAAATGAATCCGATGACATTGCATTTTTTATTAAAAAAACAATTTATATCAATACTCGTATCCATTAAAACTCACAAAAAAAATCACAAAACAACGACGGAGCAAAACAAACACATTAGAAGGTGGAGGACTTAAAACTTTAACCTACCGCATAAAAAATACTGATAAATAAACATGATTGATAGGTCAGATTTATTTTATCATCTCTAATTCTATTTTTAAAATTAGTTTAAAAACCTCCATTAGTTGAGGTGGGATTTAATGGATAGTTGCATCCAATTGTTCAAAAGCCCAAACATATTTATTTTTGATACATTAACATATATTCTTTAAACACAAGTTAATAAAATCCCAAAAAGATAGTATTTCTAAGATATTTAAATAGTCTAACATTCACACATTTTCATAACCCACCCTAAATACCATTCTCTTGAGTCAATTCATCTCATTAAAGAATCCTACATCCCCAACATAAAAAGCAAGTGGCTTTTCACCAAAACAAAAGAAAAAAAAACCACATCTCACACATTTCATATCATGTGGTAGACACACAGATTCACAAACACATTCTCTCCCCTTCTTCCCAATTGCCATCCCATACTCACATCACATTCACATTCACATTCACATCAAAATCTCAACAAAAAATATTAATCTTTTTCACAAAAAATAAAATAAAAAACCAAACTTTTTTACATATAAATTTCAAAACAGTCCAAATATCCCTCCCTCTTCAACCCTTTTCTCTATCACCTTCTCTAATAATGTTAACCCTTTTATCTTCATTGTTTCATCTTCTTTTTTTCACACTCACCCTTCAATGTCACATAGCTTCTTCAGCTATTCTATACAGCTTGAAACACCACCACAGCAATATCCACCATCAAAGACCAATGATTCATGCCAACCAAACAAACTGTGCATTGTTTGTAGGAACATGGATTCCTGATGACACTTACCCTTTTTACCAATCCTTAAACTGTCCCATGATAGATCCACAGTTCAACTGCAAATTGTTTGGTCGTCCTGATACTAATTACCTTAAATATAGATGGAGACCACTCAACTGTGAGCTTCCAAGGTAACAAGAGTCATAAAGATTGCATTTTTATATCATGTATTGTTGTGTTTTGTGCTGTGTTTGGTTGTTTCCTCTGAATGGTTTTGTAGCTTGTTGTTGTTAGGTTCAATGGTGTTCAGTTTCTGATGGGATTGAAAGGGAAAAGTATTATGTTTGTTGGTGATTCTCTGGGGAGGAATCAGTGGGAATCATTGATTTGTATGATATATACTGCAGTGCCTCAATCTCAAACACAGCTTGTTAGGGGAGAGATACTCTCAACCTTCAGATTCTTGGTGAGTTTTTGTTTGATTGATTATGATTACCCATCTAATATTTCCTTAAAAGTTTCAATTTTTTGAATTGGGGTTTTGTGGATTTTGATTTTCAATTTTTGTTCACAAGAAAAAGGAAAGTTTTTTAGCCCTTTTTGTTAATCCTCTTTAAAAATCTGAGGGAATTAGGTTATTGTTATTGTTGATGAATAGGATAGGACAAAGTATCTAGTGGAAAAAAGGTGTCTTTGATGGGGACATAAAAGTGTAGTAACTATTAGGCCATTATTTCTGTATTGGGCTAGTTGATGCAAACTGGAAGCAAATCAGTGTTGATGTTGTTGATGTATGTATAAAGTAAAGTAGACTTATGTCACATAGAAAGTTGCATTTTACAGCTGCAAAACAAAAGTTTTTGAATGAGTTTTGATATGGTGTGTGCAGGACTATGGTGTGACCCTTTCTTATCATAAAGCTCCGTATCTGGTAGAGATTGATGTGGCTCAAGGGAAGAGAGTTTTGAAGCTTGAGGAGGTAGATGGGAATGGGGATGCATGGAGGGAGGCTGATATATTATCCTTTAACTCTGGACATTGGTGGACACATCAAGGATCTCTTAAAGGGTAGGCAAATACCTTTCCTTAATTCCCTTTTATTATAAAAGTTTATTCAACACAATGTTTAGTATTTCGGGCTGGCCAAAATAGTCCACATTATAAGACTATTTTGACCAATCCAGAACAGCTGGCCCCTTGTCGGGCGGCGGATCGGGGGTGGATCTGTAAGGTGGATACTCCAACACCCAAATCCATAAATGACTGAGAGAATAGTTTGAGTGTGTGAATGAGAGAATACTTGAAATGATGCATGTTGTGTTTTATATATAAGATAGACGGTTAAAACCGTCTCCATGAGATCCGGCGCCTCATGAGGGTGGCCGTCTGATAAGATCCAACGGTGAGAAATGTGCTGGAGGCTGGAATCATGTGTCCTTAACTGGGGTAAGATCTCACCTTTTCCACACTCCTTTCTGTGCGATGCTTGCTATCGGGCCTTTCATTGTAGGCCTTGCGAGCGATCCAAAACACTTACAAAATAGGAAATATTAGTTGATTTGTCTTTATCTTAATTTCTAATTCAGAATAATTTTTATGATCTTTAAAGAATTGAACTTTAAAGTAATTTGAATTTGACTTAAGTGCAGGTGGGATTATATAGAATTAGGAGGCAAATACTACCAAGATATGGATCGTTTAGAAGCAATGGAAAGAGGTTTGAAAACATGGGCTAATTGGGTGGACACAAATATAGATCAAAGAAAAACCAAAGTGTTCTTTCTTGGAATTTCTCCTACACACACCAAGTATGGACTCTGACTCTCTCTATTGTCTTGACCTGATTTCTCTCTCATAAATTATTGTACTATAACATGATTGTGTCTGTTCAACTGGAAAATCATATCCTAAGCCTAGAAATATCTTTGGTGATATGATTGGCATTTAAGGGCTAAGAGACCTCAAAAGAAAGGGCTTGAGGCCCATTCTCTGACCTATTGCAATTTGAGTTATACATAAACTTTACTAAACCTCAATCACATTGATATGCAGCCCAAATGAATGGATCTATGGATCAACAACTGCAACATCGAAGAATTGCTATGGTGAAACTGCACCGATCAGTGGAACTGGCACATCATACCCTGGTATATATCCAGAACAAATGAAGGTTGTAGACATGGTGATTAGAGAAATGAGGAACCCTGTTTATCTTCTAGACATCACAATGTTATCAGCATTTAGAAAAGATGCACATCCTTCAGTTTATAGTGGTGATTTGAGTCCCCAACAGAGAGCCAACCCTATTTACTCTGATTGCAGTCATTGGTGTCTTCCTGGTTTACCTGATACTTGGAATGAATTGTTCTACACCACATTGTTCTATTAAATTTTTGTACTTTAGTACTAGATGATTAATTAACACAATTATTTATCACTATTTTTTTTTTTGAATGTTTTTTTAAGTAGGCAATGCACTACTATCTTTGAAAAGTTGGTATCCAAGACCAACTAATCCAAGGAGACCAATTCCATTCTCCATTAACATAGAGTCCATTTAAAATCAGGGCAAAACTCTGTAAGAACTGACCCAACACAAGAATTGTTAACATCTAACATGTTAGAATTTGAGATCTTAAAGAGATATTCACTCTTAGGACAAGTCTTCACCATCTGGCCAACACTTGGGGATTAGGTATTGCATTTATTGAGAGGGTTGCATATGATTGCAATTTGCAAGTGTTTAATATGTAAAAAATATTCCAATGAAGTTATGTAAAGACATATATTTCTAAGCAGTATTCAAATAGTAGAACTTGCATTCAAACTTAACATAATACACGACTCTTCTTAAAAAGCCAAATTACAATATGAAAGTGTTCAAATCACCACATCGATTTAAAAGCAAAGACAAGATGTGGATTACACAACATCAAAACACATAAATACAGCTAAGTAGAAAGCCTTATACATATAAAAATTTGCCTGGATAAAATACACATCAGGCAAATTTTTCCGTTATCTTATTCTCTATTGAATACTAATAGTATAATAATATCCTTATTTCTTAGGCAAGTAATATTTGCTATGTCTCATACTAGGTTTGAATGGCAACTCCAAGAGGAGAAACTCCTATTTTTGGTATAATCTTCTCTGGCTCTACACCTTTTGTAATTGGGTTGATTTGGTTTTCATAAGCTGAAACATGCACTCCAAGTGCTGCTCTACCAGATGGATCAAGGTTGCCTGACCAAGAAGCATCCCATTCAATAGCTTTTTCTGTGCTGCATGCAACACTAGGTCCTCCAGGAACTGTCAGCCTTGCCGAGTTCTACAACAAAGAAACACAAAAATTCGATTAGCGACCATTGTTAGGATCTCTGTGGCATCAACACCTTAGAAAAAAAAATGTGTCTATGTCCGTGTCACTGTCAGGATACAAATCAAGATGTGACTGGGTAAGTTATATACCTGAGGGAAAAATCTTTCAAAGATCATTCTATAGTAATATGCTTCTTTGGTATTTGGAGTGTTGAAAGGAAAGATGTGAGATGCATTGAACATCATTTTGTCAGTGACCTATAACAAGATTTCAAGAACCAGTTATTAGCTACATGCTGCATAATAGCATAGGCACAAAATAAAATAAAATTGAAGATAAAAATTCGTATTTTTTTATTTACATGTTTTGCTGCATGGTCTTTGATGCCATCAATCCAGCCATATCCAACTCCATCACTGAATTGTTCCTTCTGTCTATATAAAATGTGCTACATCAAATCAAATTTACAACATGTTAGTTTCACAAATTATGGACAGAAATTGTACCAAATAATGGGAGAGTAGACTAGAGTAGAGACTCACCTTAGGCAGATATGGATTCTCTTCATCATCAAAGGCCTTTCTTAGAATCCATTTCTCAATTCTTCCTTCATCATGTTTTATCTGGAAAAAAAATTGAATTATAAATTGAATTTTTTAAGCAATGTTTTATCGCAAAATTTTCGCATTCATGTATCGTACCATTTTAAACTCAGGATCAATGTCCATTGCAGCCTTGATAAAGTCCTTGTCCAAAAATGGCACTCTAGCTTCTAGACCCCATGCATAAGTTGATTTATTGGCTCTCAAACAATCATACCTATGAAGAGCTTTGATCTGCATTATTACATCAAAACCTTTAACTTCAAGTACTTCATATATTTTTCCTTTCTAAAATGAGTTACATAATGTAATTATATGACCTTGCGGCACGTTTCTTGGTGAAACTCTTCTTTGTTTGGTGCTTTATGGAAATACAGATACCCTCCAAAGATTTCGTCAGATCCTTCTCCAGAAATAACCATTTTGACTCCTGATGATTTGATCTTACGAGACATCAGAAACATAGGCGTTGCGGCCCTTATTGTAGTGACATCGTAGGTTTCTGTGTGATAGATGACATCTTCAATTGCATCTATACCATCCTGCATAAGCCATACAAAAGATTCAATAACAAGTCTTAATAATTGATTCTCCTTTCGGTAAAGAACAGTTTGCGACTGCAATTTAACGCCGATTATATACCTGAATAGTAAACTGAAATTCATGATGGACAGTTCCTAAGAAATCTGCTACCTCTTTTCCAGCCTTCAGGTCAGGTGCACCCTAATCAACATTCAACACAACAAGACCAATGATCATAATCCACTAACATTGATTTTCTATTCATAATTTAAAAAAAGCATATGCATATCAATACCTTAAGGCCTACACAGAAAGAGTGTAACTTTGCTCCCCACTGCTTAGCAGCTTTTGTATCAGCAAGGTATCTAGCAGTGACAGATGCGACCAACGAAGAATCCAAACCACCCGATAGTAAAACACCGAAAGGCACATCAGTCATCAACCTCTTTATCACAGCCTGTAACAATGATCGTATTAATTCTACTGAGTCTAACTCAGCCTTACATAAACTCGACCAGACAAAAAGTAAACGGGACCTTACCTTTTCAAAGGCGGTCCTCAAAACTAGAGGATCATAAGGTGTTGACGGAATAATAGCCTCGTTGAACCATGGAGGATTGTACCATCGACGAAACTCTCTTTCTTTGCTCGAGTATAAGTGACCAGGTGGAAAAACTTCAAAATGTTCACATTCATCATTCAGTCCTTTCAATTCTGATGCAATCCAAACAGAACCTATACAACAACAAACATGTACCAAATTTATCAAAACTCATTTGCTCTACAGTTTTATGATTACAGAAATATAACAAATCAACAAACACTATAAAAAATTACCATCTAGTCCCCAACCAATGTACAAGGAAGTAACACCTATAGCATCCCTTGCAACTATGAAACTGTTGTCGCGAGTATCCAGCAGAACAAACGAAAATATACCGTCCAACATATCCACAGAGTTTTCTCCATACTCCTCATACTAACAACAAAATCATCAAAATCAATAACTAAAAAAAACTCCAAATAAATGATTGCGCAATCGCAGAAACTGCCATTGCGCAATAAAAATGACTATGCTACGACTAACCAGGTGCGCAATAACATCACAGTCGCATTGCGTACGAAACGTGTGATTAGGCAATTGTTTTCTGAGCTCTTCATGATTGTAGATTTCTCCATTCACCTGATTTTTCAACGATACAATTTATATGTTACCATATACACTATAACATATAGTATGAAAAATGTAATAATTACTAAACCTTATGAGACTTGATTATTAGTATTATTACCGTGACAATAATGGATTTGTCTTCATTGAAGAGAGGTTGATCACCAGAAGCAGGATCAACAATGGCTAACCTTTGATGAGCCAAATAGTTATCACCATGTTGGTGGAGCCCACTCCAGTCTGGCCCACGGTGCTTCAATCTGTCACATCATATCCACAAACATTAATTAATAACTAATCATCAATCAAGTTACTTATAGTATCAATTAATTAACCAAACTTATTTATTAATTATATATACTCAAATTGGACTTTATACATATGAATGGCCAATTATTACATCTCAACCAGTGGACCCCACATCACACTTTTTTTTTTTAATCTTAATATAAGAAAATTATGTAATAATATGTGTCACAGTTTGGATACATACCTTGTCAAAGTCAAATATGTTTATCCTAATATAAATAGAGAATTATATTTTCAACTCTTACATATAATCCTTTAACTTGTAATTTTATTTAAATATTTATAAAAAAACATATCAACAACAAAAGTTAATGTATTTAATTTAATATAGAATGGATATATCAACTTTTGTGAATTTAAATATCTCTTATGTTTGAGTATTTTTAGCTTAGTTGCTAAAAACAATTTTATTCCTTCTCTAAAACCAAATATTTTGGTCTTGTTAACATATCTCAGGTACTATAGAGTACGAGTTCGAACAACAGTTGTTGTTGCTATATTACTTCACCCAAAAAAATTAAATATTTTGAACTTTCATGCTTGTTTCTTATTTTACTCTATTCTCAATATTAGCATAACTCAATGTCAAATTCAACCTCTCCCATGAGCTTGTAAACCACAAAAAAACATTTAAAAAAACTCTAGACAAGGTATAGTTTGATCATGCAAAACAAGAAACTTTAAATAGAAACATCAAAGTGATCAAAGTTAAGCAAAAGGTATATTTCCTTTTGAACCGACACGACAATACCAACAGTAATTTGAAAAAATAATTTATTTTTTCAGAATTATCGGTGCTACGAGTATATTTATATACAATAAAATGAGAAGAATTATTGCCTGCGAGAAAGCTCAAGTATGCGAACTCGTTTAGCTTGTGAATCATCAGAGCAACCAAGTACAGCAAGTATGCCACACATTATGAAAGTATTTTCTACAAACCTTTTCGAAAGGTTTTTTGAAGAAACAGAGAAAATGGATAAAGAAAACAAGACACGAAAAACGAGAAACAAAGAGTGTGGAAGAAACAACACGTAGAATGTTTCAGTTTGGTCGAGTTAAGTACTATATCCATCGACGTACACGTATTTATACACAAAAGGTGGGCACTAAACGGTGTCGTTTGGGTTATTGAAGAAGTGTTTACCGGGAACCGGGTGGTGCCGGTGAGTTTGAATCGGGACCACCGCCACGTGCTATGACGTGGTTTGCTATGGGATGTTTTTGTCACGTTATTTAGTTGAATTTATTATTATCATTATTGGTGTTGTTTATTTAATTATTTTATTTGATTCTAGTTTATGCTTGAGCGGTTTGCTGCTTCTTGCAAATGAATGAGTGTGGAAAGGCTTATCCATAACTGTTTTGGTTTTGGTTTTGTGTGTTGCGTCAGCTTCTATATCCATTTTGAAAGATGTTTATAATAGTCATAAATAGGTGTTTTTGATAAACCAATTCTTAAGTTTCTTAACACATTACTTTATTTCCATGGACTAATTCTACCATAGCATTTCTTCTGCCGATTTACTTAATGAATTTGTCACCTTTTTTCTTATAGAAAATCTAAAACGTATATTTAAGGGGGACATTTGTTACATGGAATCAAAATTTATTTTTAGAAATTAATAAAAATAAAGATAGGAAATTTATTTTAAGGAATTTTTTTGAAAAATATTTAACAAACATTTTGATATTCTAAAGAAAATTATCATTTTAATTAATATTTTAATTTTTTTTTTTACAAAATTTCATTGAAATCCACTTCTATCATTTTACGTGAGAATCATTTTATGAGAATATGAGAAATTATGAGAAGTTATTTTTTTTCCTTGAAATCTTTATTCTCATAAATAATTATTTTCAATTTTGTAACAAATATGAGTATATTCATTTCTTATTTATGTATTCTCAATAATTTTGTTTCTAAACTTGAAACAAAAACCCCATAAAAAATAATATAAGAGAATGGGGCTTTTCTATAATAAACACACAACTATAAAAGTTAAGAAGGATTAAGAGGTAAAAACTCTATTAAATTAAACACGTTATTTTGATTGATATTTACCATATGAGATGTATAATGATTGACTTTTCTATAAATATGTTTGATCTCATATTTTTAATATGCTCAATTCATGAGATTATGTTTCAAGAAGAAAATGAAACAAATTTAGATTAGAATCTGGTTCAAAGTAAGGAAGAGAAACTCAAATTACTCGTTATTTTCTAACTATGGATTATACTATAGAGCTCGACTAAAATAGAGGTAGATTGATCAAGATTATAAAAGAAATGACTAACATAAATTTTCTTATAGTGTCTAATAAGATCCCAAAAGCCAAAAGTCTTATACGTCTAAAGTAAAATTCGTCAATATTGAGCTTAAAAAACTAGTTGGGAGAGACTTTCATTTCACATTAATTTCATGTTTTCTTTACTCAACAAAAAAGATTGATGAAGGAATATATGATGATGAACATAATTTAGATACTACTAAAGATTATTAAGTGTATGTTTGATTCTACTTTTAGAAGATCCATAATCAATTCTAGAGATGTATAATTGATTCTGAGTGATTTTGAGGTGTTTGATTTATCAAAAGTAGAATTGATTATGTCTCTAGAATTGATTCTACATGAAACTATAATTTGTAGTTTCTGTCTCCAGAATTGATTTTGGATGATTTTTACACTGAAATTTATTGGTTAATTCACTTTTACTTAAATGTATTCATGTTAAGGTTTTCAAAGTATCCTGAATGGGATTCACTGGTAACTCACTTACATCCAATTTTCCTAAATTGATGGGGGCGAATTGAACCTAAAGCTTAGTGTAAACACGCGTTTTGGAATTTATATTATGCAACTTTCATCCTAACGTTTTCATCCTCTTCTCGTTCATATTTTGCAGCAGACCTCTTTAGGTTCAATTTTCGATTTTGATTCATATTTTGTTTACATTTTGTTTATAACTAATATTAAAGTATGAAAATTTAAAGAAGAAGATAATAACTGTCAATGATGGTGAAAAGTACACATTTAATTAATATAATTTTTCGACTTATATGATTTCGATTTATGGTTCTTTTTTGTGGTTAAATTGTGACTATAACTTTCATAGAGAATTAAACACTCGTGCTTCCTTATTCATTATTATGGTGAAAGGTACATAATTATTAAATAAATATGTCATTTATATGATGTTTTAAATTCAGGTAAAATATGTTGAAAATAATATTTATTTATGTTAAGTTTAACACGTGCCATAAATTTATATGTGTGTGATTTATAAATTATTCAAGTATGTGAATTTGGATAATTAAAAATATATTTGATTTATGGTGTATACTTGAATGTAAAATACATGTTAAATATTATTCTTTAGTGCCAGTAATTTATGCTAATTAATAATGTATTATTTCTAGATGAAATAATTTTGTGAAAAACAAAATCATGAATTTGAAGATATGATGCATGTATTGGTAACATAACATGGTGTAAATGAAATGTTAAAAATATCAAGGACATGTTTCAATTGTATTTTAGTTTGTGAAAGAATTTATTAATTTTAAAATAATTTATCTCATATTATATCTGTATCATAATATGAAAGTATTATTTCTTGTTTATCTTGCTATTAGAAGTAATTTGATATATTTTAGATTATTGTAAGTTGACAAATATTTATAGAAGAATTAAAGTTATAGAAAATATTAATGATGTGAATTCATTGTTTATTTTGTATTGCGACTTTTACTTAGATATACCATAGAGCATTGTTAAATATGAAACATGAATTCATCATATTGAATTTGTTATGCATATGTTAGTTATGAAAAAAAATTATTTATTTTTAGAGAATAGAAATTCATTCTATGGTGTTGTAATTTATATGGAGTTTTTGAAATACATGTTTGAATTCCATGAAATAAAAGTTAGTCATGACAATTTTGTATGATCATGGTTGTCAATTGCTATAAGTGTTTAATATTTTAAATATATATTTTGGATATATTTAAGTGGAAGTAAAAATTTAAATTTAAAAGGTTAGCAAATAAATAATGACATACAATTCGTGTATATGACAAAATGAATGACAAAAATGTCATGGTGATAGTTTGTCAAAACTATCAAGAATATATAATATATTTTGCTTAGATAAATATACTAATATGACAAATGTGTCATGTTTGATGATAGTTGATAAATACTATCAATAGTACATAAAGTAATCATATATATGTCTAGTTGAAAGATTGAATATTCAAAGTTGATTAAAGTTGAAAAATCTTTCAATTCTTTTACGAAAGAATTGACAAGGATATGATGTCTTTTAATATAATTGAAGAGGGTGAAGACATCATTAGGAATGTGGAAGAAGCCCATATCTAATTAATCACTAATGGTGGAAACTCAACTCACATTTGATTAATTTGTTGAGTTCAATGATGAAAGTACACTATTAGAGTGATTGAAGTACTTGATAATAGATACATCCCAAGGAGTAAAAATATTTAGACCATAAGAATAAATGTGTTAGGATGAAGTTTTTCTCTTAATAGACATATAACATATATTTGCTGGAATACATAATTATGGGTGTATTTCTTATATAGTCTATCTATATGAGAATGAAGTGGTGCCACTTCATAGAGTTCAAGGGCTTGAGCCTTATTAAATGTGTCATATTAATAATTCGATCAATGATACCGAGATTTCATGTGTGAGTTATACACGTTTGTTCTAATGAATAATTGGTTCAAAACTTGTCTACCAATCTATTCGGGGATGAGTGAAAACTTAATTTACTAAGTAATGGTTCAAATTGTAAGATACCTTTATCTGAAACCACGAAATTTCCTGAATAATGAATTTAGATATATTTTGAAAACGGTGGAGGATTGTTGGAGAATTTCTAAAATATTTAATTGATAAGTGGAAATTATTAAATTGATTTTATGCATTCTTACTATCAATTGGTTATGTTGGTGTAGTAGTTATTACTTGAGTTTTAAATACTCAAAAGTTGTGAGTTCAAAACTTGGTTATTGCAATTTTAGGAAATTATTTGTTACTAACAAAATAAATGTAAAAAATTCAAATAAAAGGACATTTGCATGCTTGGCTTCGCAGGGTACACAAACTCGTATGGAAATATATGTGAATATGTAATTCATGTTAAGGTTTCCAAAGTATCCTGAAGGGAATTTGTCATATGTAATTCATGTTAAGGTTTCCAAAGTATCCTGAAGGGAATTTGTCAGTTAACTCATTTGCATCAAATTTACCTAAATTGGTGAGGACGAATCGAACCTGCTTTGGAATTTATTTTGTGCAAATTTCATCATACCGTTTTCATCTTCTTCTTGTTCATATTTTGCAGCATACCCTCAACACAAGATCTAACAGTTCCTTTGATTAGTACCAACTGAAAAACACTTGAAGATAAATTCACCCACTGAATAATTCTAAGACTAAAAATAATACTATGATTATCATCATTAATAATAAACTTATTTCATAAATTCTTAACTACAACACAATCTCTAAGGACATGTATAATGGCCTCTTAAGAGTAGAAAAATTAATATTAGCAATTTTGAATAATATGAGGTTGAATTAAATTCCAATTTCATCTTTCTAAAGAAGAAAAATCACCAATTGTATAGTTACGCGAGTAAGAAGAAATAAAATTAACCATATATGATAGCTTATAAAATCCTAGAATCTATTTGTCATGATAATATTTGACAAAATGACTTTAGGAATTATCCAAGACATGCCATTCTCCATCAAATACTAATTATTTTTATATCCCACGAGATGTGAGAAGCTTTGAATCCATAATTAAAAGACTAGATAAATTACCATAATTATACTTAACTCCAATGATTTTGACTCAAAGAGCGTATGTTTTAATT